TATAAAATGCAATATAGTAAACTCTTTTTTAATTTTTTTCACGAGTGCCGTTTTCAGTTCAACGATACACCATTTTTAACTACGACGCTTCGCCGTTTCGATAATAACTTATTTATTCCCTTGCTATAGAAGTCGGGTACGAAGACATAGTGTCGAAAAGTAATTTACGTACCATATTAAAATTTTAACATTCCTTCTATAAGAGCTTTATTAAAGTTATTAAACAAAAGGAAATCTTATTAATTATTATGAAACTATGTAATTATGTTATTATGAAATTATGTGTAATTTTATTATGAAATTAAATGTAATAAATGCCAGAGAGCTCGCGACTGTAATCTCTGCATTTTCGCCAACGTGATACTCATGGTGTGAGGTCGTGTATTAGGAGTAATTAGTCTTTGTTCTTCGATCTTCATAACTCACTTCTAAGTTTGTTTTCCGTATCCTCTAAGTTTGGATTCTCCATCAGATCGAATTTTCAGAGTTTTCACGATTCATTATAATTTGCCCAGTACAATTTTTATATATTTTCGTACCAAGAAACTATGGTAGCTGGGACACGCTCACTCATTATCCATGGTGTAAAAACATCCCAGATCCTTCTTTCAGAAAATTTATTATGACAAATATCTTATGCAGTGGATTTCTATATTTTTTAGCCTAAACGGACGATTTACTTTTGGTCAGTTTTTATGCGGTTTAAAAAATCTGAGAGACCAACAAACGAGTTAAAAGATCCTCAGTAGATTCTAGATTCAAGGGGCTCGAAAATTCATAAAAACAACTCAAAAAGCTATTCTTTGATACATCTGAACTTGTTTCAGAGAAACTAACCAGAGTTTTGAAAGTTGCTAATTCCACCATCCAGGTAAGCTTCAGTAAAAAGCCTCTTTAAGACTTTTTGTGTTCTTTACACCTTTTATACTTGTTGGCTGATTTGACTTTTTGCATTTTTGAGACCTTTAATCTCACCTTTAATTAGCCCAAAATTTGATTCCGTTGCACTATTTTGTATATAGTTACTTCTAGCTACCAGTATTGCTTGACTAGTGAAAATGTATCCTTGGTACTAAAGCAAAGCTTGTTCTTTCCAGCATGAAGCAACAAATTCGTCATGGTTGAAAACGATGCATCGTTGTCGCAGTTTTAGTAAAAGTTTGAAAGCTATTATCCAACCTTTGCGCTGGCCGAATCCTACCAATTTCTGAAATTGGTTCAGAAACTCCCTTTTTTTTTCCGAAATTGATTATCAACATTATTGCCAGAAAGTTTCCATAGGTAAAATCGAAACACTCTCAATAGGCTTTAGATTTAAAAGGCTCATTTTTGATACACCTAAATTGTTAACACAGAAATCGATTCAGAGAGGAAACAACACAGAGAGGAAAATATTACTTGTTGATTAGATCACTCAGATAAGATTCAACGGATAGCCTTTTTGAAACCTTTTGGGCTTTTTAGCTCTTCTGTACTCCTGCATTTTTTACCTGTCGCCAGCCAAACATATATTCCGCTGGAATTTTTATATATGTGTATATAAGTGGTATCTTAACGATTCTATATTTATCAATATCGCTTGACACACGGTCACTATTGAATAATTATTTGCGGATTTAGTAAGAAAAATATCTTGAAATTGATAGTTCAGTTGTCCGCGGATAATAGTGACTGTATTGAATTAACATGACTGTCAGGAAAAATCTCGTTATAGTATCTGCGTATTTAAATACAGTTTTAAAACAAGAATAGGTCCTAATATATGTGCCGTGTGCTATAATTAGCTGTTATTTAACAGTTAACACTTACACAACTATAAGTGTAAGTATTGAATTTTAGATATTTCTGACCCGATAAACGGGTAAAAACATACCGCATATCAAATCTACGCTTCTCTTCCCATAATATGAACAGAAACCTATCTTGCGAGAATCCACATACGCACAGAACGGTCATAAATCAATTTAGGGAACCTATCCTATGTTTCTAGCTTTTAAGTACTGTTGTATTGTAATGTAAATGACTAAATGTAATGCTCAATAGGTAAAATTGTCAACCGACTGTAACACGACTGAACATTAGTATTATATTAAAAGGTAAGGAGCACCCTTTATTTATATGCTTTCAAGGAATAAATCGTAAAATAAGCAACCGTAGCTCAAATAATTAGGTTAATGAGGATTTTGTTCATTTCTTCGGTTTCTTCTATTTTCTAAGAAATGTCAACCAGTCGTTGTGCGCCACTTAAAAGCACTTTCTTACTACTATAAATGATGCCGTGTTTTTCCGTTACGAACGAAATTCTACATCAAGTTGAAGTTCCTAATATGCATAATTCAGCCACCAGACAAAGGTTTTGGCATTTTTTTCATTCGACGTTTGCGGAGGCCAGGTTCAGGAAATATCTGTGTGAAGGACAAGAGTTCAAAGAAGCCTCTGAGGTCGATACAAAAATAACATTACCAATTTGGAGGATGCATCTCGTGTCGTTCGATTCTATGAAAGAGAATGATTGCTGAATAAATCGAGAATCGAGTAAAAATATGGATTGTGACTATAGGACTAGTATCACGGATCTTTACTTAGTTGAACTTACAGAAACACTTTAATTGGTAGTCCTCATTATAATATGATTGGAACTATTCTGTTTTTAAAAACGTCGTACAATCCAGAAGCCAGATCGTAGCATGGCGTAACGTCTAGGTTTACTATGTCAACTTGGAACTTAAAAAAATTATTTTAAGTAATCATTTTTAGATATGCAGATGATGATATTGCAGTAAAAATGTCCTTTTTCTATTGGACAGCTTCGAACGGCAAGTAGGACAGTGTCATAACTTATTTTCTGATACGTGCAACATGCATTTTTCATACTTAAATAGGACATAATACGAAACAAGTTATGGAAAGAAAATGCGCGCCTTTAAATAACGATGTTCAGCAGGAGAGAACTTCTGGGAAATTGGAGCATCTGAGAAACCTCAAAGATGACCCAGCAGTTTCCGAACTGAAAGACTTGGGTAAGTGGAGCTTTTATAAATCCATTGTATAACAGAATTCTAAAGATCTAAAGGACTTTAAAGATGAGTGTTCTAAATGATCCAAGTGCGTTTTCAGTAGTTCCTATATTTCGTCTTGCGTCGAGGTCTACCAAACTGCCGAAGTAGCCCGAGACGGTTGTGCCGTATATGGCAAGAATTTTATAGCTCATGATAGCCGAAGACTACTGAAGGATGATTTTTCCAGTTTCAGAGATAGCATCTTAAGCATTGGCCGGTCGGCCATCCAAACTAGATAAGGGACGCATGAAGGCCTTTTCGAAGGAAAATGCCCGGCAAATATTTTTTGAGTCGAAAAAAAACCATTGAATCTATAAAATTTTATCATAAATTAATCAGCCACTGAGCAGATAAAGAAACAGTTGGTTTTAAGGGATACGCTCAAACCTAGAGTCTTAAATTCAGCACCGCATTGCAGCTTCTTTGACTCCATGCTTATGGAGTAGGATGGTCAATTTATCGGGCTGTCAGCCAGTTCAGAGGAGCTCGGTCTGTTTATATGTAGACATAAGGTAGGATATTTTTGTTGAGGCTTCGCAGCATTTAGCGCGATTCTGACCTACCCATTAGAAGTCATGCTAATCTTATAGTGCCAAAACATTAGGATGTAACTCTGTCACTCCAAGCAAATGACGTGGTGTGCGCTCGCGATATTTTATATTCTTACCCATTCAAACTCCACAGATTCAGTGGACGGCAGCTTCCTTTTCCTTTACTCTTTACTCTATTATGGTCATCTAGATCTGTTTCCAACATATTCTGATACATTCAACACTCAGAACCCGTATGTAATTCTGAGCCTGACTGGCACTATTGCATGTAGCAACCGATATATGACCCACTTAAATATAAATGTATTCTGACTGGAGATCTTGATACTAGCCGATCGCCTTATGACAAAGCGGCAACAAATAAAGGGACAACATGTGTTTAATAGCAAAAAGAGACTCAAGCAGTGGCTACTGAAACTCTTCGATACTAAACCTGGTGAGACCGGGAATAATTGGTTGATAAACGAGAAATTTTACAGGAAGTAACGGCGAATACATAATACAGGTCATATTTTGTGTTTTTATGAATGTAGAACATCAATTTACCTCCAAGAAAATATGTCCTGACATTTCGTAGCGATTCGTCTGTCTTTTTTGATTCTATTACTTTTCAAGTACTGAGTGTTTTTCCATATGCTAACTGAATAGCATTTAAATAATGCTATATGCGAAATTAAGCTAGTTCGTGTTTAAAGACATCTCACACTAAATGCTATTCGAATATTACAATATCATCATCAATTTGTTTTACTTAAAAAAGTAGTTGAGAGTTAATCGTGAGAACGTTCCAATAAGACAAGAGTGATTTATTGTCCAAGCGTTTACTAAAAAAAATCTACCTCATTAAACCTAGCGTTTGTTCCAGCTTTTTTGAAATTTTCGAACTCGAATCGGATGTGAAACCGCACTCAATTTAAATAAAATTCATGACTCTTCGAGTTGCAAGTTATTTTGAAAAAACACTCATTCAAGTTAAGTTGATTTTATCAGTCACTTTATTGCAAATATTTATTTAGTAATCCCAAAACTAAAGTGATAATTAATCATGCTATATAATTCACTTGGCGCGCAGAAGCTATTTTGGGCACAGTTGCACACAGGTCCCCGCGATGGTGTATCGGACGAGTGTCGTTTGATATAATATCAATACGATGAAGTTCCGAACTTTATTTATTTGATTTCGCACAGGAACTTCGTTGACTTTTTGTCGGTAGTAGATCGGATTTAATTTACTTTCACTGTATTAATTTAACAAAAGACAGCTTCGACTAATGAAAACAAATCCGGTTGTACACCGGGCAACACGTATACATTTTGTTCTAAACGGGCACAATTTTACGTTTTTGGTTGAACAACATTATAATCTATTGCATAATACTTTTTTTTTTTATATTGTTGGTATTTTACCGTAGCCGTCGCACGCAACATAACGATTTATCTAGGTTTTTTTTTTATCAACAGTGTACAGAGAGGTATTCAGGTAAAAATACAAATATACTGTTCACCGTTTTCCACGCTTTTTTCCCGGTTCTTTTGAAATCAATACGCATGCTACTGCTACTTATATATATATATATTATATATATACGGCACCATTAACAATAAAAAGAAACCAACGAATCAGTTTAGGCAGATAACCAAATTAAGTAGGTATCCTTTGTTATAAGTAATACTTATTAGTTTTGTCATTTGAAAGATCTGTGCCGTATTATACTTTGATCGACTTTTCTAAACAATTATTACCAATTTTTATTCATATTATTAATATGATTTTTATGAATATGCACATTACAAAAATATTTTCTCATATACATCTCGAATTTCTCGTATATACATTTATTAAGAAATGCTATCGAGTCTAAAAGTAGATAGCGTTCATTATAAAGAGAAGTAGATAAATCTTTATTTATAGAAAAATCTGAGAAACTTCTAATACCATTTCACAGCCTTTTATCTACCTTAATCACTCTCTTCTGATATCTGCGCTGTGTAGCAATAGTCACGTGATTAAGAAATATATGAAGTAATAATGAAATACACATCACTATTGATCGTCCGTAAATCAAAAAGCCGTTTGATTCAGAGTTTGAGCACTGTTTCGCCCAAGAAAACGCATGTCGTTCGCTGAGATCGCGTGGCGTAGTCTTTCTTTGGGTAGTAAATAAAAAAGGCGCCTCTTACAAGTGTTTCAAAAAATAGTTTATTCACTCATATCCTTTCCCTTGTTCTAAATAAACAGGTATTTACAGTCACCTGCAAATTCAAAATAAAGTTCTATATTTTTGCTAAGCCATGGATTCGTTAGTTATTAATCGACTCGTAACAACTCTTAGATGGTGAAAAGTAAATGCTTCGTGGTCGGCTTCATTTAATACTGTTGAAGGAGGGAGTATTTCAGAAATCCACTATAAAAATATCGTAGTATAAATACGTATGCAATCACCTTCGCTGATTTTGTAGAATATAGCGACATTGAAAGATCTGTACTTAGCTTGGCCTTTTCTATCAGATGGTATCTAAGTCATAGCTGAGCACAACGTAAACGCTGTCTAGTAAAGATAAAGATCATGTTATAGAATTGGCTTAGTACATATTTAGAGGTGATGTATTTAAAACAGTGACAGTATTCGAACAGTGACTACATGATAATTTGGGGTTCCATAATACTATCCCCAATGGCTTTATGAGGAAGGACCTTACCCCCATTGACGTAAATTTCGTCCTTAACATAGACATCCTCACCTAGTACGGTTGTGTTTTCCATGCGTACCCATTGGCCGACTGTACTCTTCCAGCCGATAATGCACGAGTCCAGCCAGCAGTGTGACTTTACCACAGCGCCTTCGAGGATGGTAGATCGTTTGATGCACACTCCATCCTCGACAATGACTTTTGGGCCAATGACGACATTCGGACCAATGCGACAGTTGGAACCAATTATCGCCGTCGGGTGTACCAACACATCACCGACGACTCCTTCAGTCAGGGGTAATAACCGATCCGGCCGACTGCTTCGTAGCCAGTTCAAATAGAGGCACATACCCGTTAGGAAGTCCCTCGGTTGACCTACGTCCATCCAGAAGCCTTCCAGCTCAAAAGCAAAAAGATCTCGATCAGCGACCATCGCTGGAAAAATTTCTTTTTCGATTGACGTTGGTCTCAGCTGAATGCGATTAAGTACTGAAGGATTTAAAATGTAAAGTCCAGCGTTGATTCGATTTGACACAAACTCAACTGGTTTTTCAACAAACCGCTCGATTTGCCCATCGGGCTGGTAAACAACTACACCATATTTCGAGGGTTCTTCTACACGAGTAACGACAATCGTTCCTTGTCGTTTGTGTTGCTTATGGAAGGAGATCATCTGTTCAAACGGAAACTCGCAAACGATATCCGAGTTAAGCACGAAAAAAGGTTCATCGTCTGTGGCCAGATATTCGCGCGCCAACGCCAACGGCCCGGCTGTACCCAACGGTTCATTTTCGTGCGACAAAGTGATTTTGATTCCCAGCCGGCGGCCTTCCTCAATCACAGCTTGCTCTAACAGCTCAGCACGATAGCTGACTGCAAGGATGATTTGTTTCACTCCGGCGGACACCAGTGCCTCGATCTGGTGCACCATCATTGGCTTGTTACAGAATTCGACTAAAGGCTTTGGTCGTGACAGCGTTAGCGGGCGTAGCCGAGTACCATAGCCCCCAACTAGAAGTAGAGCCTTCATGGCAACGACACAACAGAAAGCAAAGCTCGTTATTCCTTTACTTTTCTGGGAGCCGATCCGAGGTTAATCAGCTACAAATGCACGAGTTCGTTGATCACTTAAAAATTACCAATGAACTCAATAGCAGCATTAGATCAACAAATCATTAGTCTTCCTTCTACTTTCGTTCAATGCATGGCTGCTTAATTGCTACCCGTCAATGAGCACGTTGACGGGTGACGTTGCATAGAGAGCGCTGCCACTACTAACCAAATTCCAGCGGCTGTCCTCTTAACACACCACAATAATAATAGCAGTGAGCGCAGTGTCATTCGAAACATTCGCTGACGATACGATACCGGCTGACTGCCAACGTGGACGGATGAACGCATTCGAGTTGTCTTCTATCCGCGCTTTATCGAGCGAACGGGCGGTTGAGCAAGACCGAACAGAGCTCATAGGTGCGATGACGTAGGAGTGGAGTGTCCGTCACTCTCTACCGTACAAGACTCCTCTGCACCTCATGTCAACTAATAGCTCTCAATACATCACAGAATAGGTCTATATACATTGATATAACTAGTCGAGTTATGGCTGACTGTTGAGAAGTACAAAAATCCGCGTTAGTTACGACTCACAACTTTACTGACGTATTGCTTGTTATTCGTATTAACTTACCCATGATGGTCAGCATAGTACGCAACTAGAATTGTTTACTAATAGCTAACTGGTTAGAAGGGTTTGTGCTATATGCGTTATCGTGGGAGACAGCAGCGGCTGGCAGAACGAACACCCACTTTTGGAGTGCTTTTTAAATTGACCATGGAATTTCAATCAACAGTCCGTAACTTGCTATTCGTATACAGTTGAGTCTTATTGTGCAGCGCCAATAAAATCCCCTGCCTATAGTAAAATCAGTGTTTCTTTTCTAAGATGTAAAACGCAGACCTGAAGCATCAGTTATCAAAACAGCAATATCAATACGGGTAGAAGCTGTCGAATATTGCCATTTATTTAGCTACCAGCATTGGATCGTTTGATCAAGCTTGTCCAATTTAAGTAATCGATTTTAATTCTCTACGATTATTTATTATTTATGCTCGAGGATGGTCGATATAAAGCTCTATTCAATATGGGTTCGATAAAACAAGTTATTGTCGAACGTACTCAAATATCGTTAGGCTTCATCCAACCATACCGCTCTATCTCTTCTTGAATGCAATATTTCCAGGCGAACCGTGCAGTCAAGCAACTTTCTTAAATAATTATTGCTAGCTCAACTAGACACAGAAAGAACCTCCGTTGGCCTTCTCCGTTTTTCTTCTTATCAGATTGCTGGAGTTCGGAAGTTAATTTGGACGTGACTTTTAACAAAAATCTAATCATCTGAGTCACATTTTCTTTATGGTCGTATCATATCGAAACTGAAGTTGCAAAATTACGTAGTCTTTACGTTTCGGTTTAAGCAAATCTACATCGTTACTGAGCAGCCTAAATTAACGCTTCGCTTTATTCGCTCGCATGTATAATATATAGCTGCAAAATAGTTTTTCGTATTTTTTTAAAACGCGTTTTTTCTTACTTGTTTTCGATTTTCGTTTACTTTAAATGCACGTTTGAAAGCGCTCTTTCTGCCATCAGCGGCATGGTCTAACGGTATTTTGTTGTAAGTAATGATTTCCACTTGGAGGAACTTCTAATAAGTGAATATTTTAAACGACTTGCATTTTCGGCATGCCATGTACTATGCATTTTGTCGAGGTCAAAATGCGCCTTTGTTTAAAAGGCCTCGTTGCACTCTTCATCTTTTTCCGGAGTTTCTGCTGACGGATTTTCATTTTTCCGTTCACTGTCAAATCACACTAGGAACTACAGATTTGACAGCAAAAGGAGGTCTTAAAGCCTGGCTGAAGGAGTTTATTTAATACCGGACCTAAAAATTTCTGCCAAGAAGGAACAAATAAATTCGTTGACAGATGGGAAAAGGCCCTAAGCCATAGTCGGAAATACACAACATAACAAAAACTATCGCAGAAGGGATATGTGTGCTTATTTTTTTGCTTAGTAAGGAAGAAAACAAAAGTCTTCTTTCCAGTCTAGTACACAGAGGCATGAAGCTTTTTTATTTCAATATTATTTGTTTCTCTACCATCTCATTCGTACGTGCTTCAAAGATGATTGTCCGATCAATGAAACGTTTATAACATTCCGACACTCAGAGATGCAGAGATTCGCATTTGCGTTATTTTTTTGTTGTGTCCTTTGTAAACATTTTTGGCCCGCGCTCGTAAAGTTCCCCAGTTAATGACCTCCGTAGTTAACTCAATATGGTTTTCTCATTGACATGGATCTGTCTAGAGCGCAGTAAAGAAACCATATAAAAACGCCTTTAGTCGCTAAACGTAACATGTTGAATGCATATGCAAAACAACGTCATGAATAAACTTTACAATATAATAATAATTATGTAATGAACTACAGCTGAATGGTTTGCTTTATGTTGAAAGCGTTAAAATATAACTTAAATCTAAACAGTCGGCAGTGTTTTCTGTTAAAATTAACAGATTATACCTCTTATCAAGGAAAATTTAAACCCGCGAACTTTAGCTCTAATTTTATAAATGGTATTGCACCACCTCGTTCTTCGGGACAATTAACACTATAGACCACCTACTCTTTGAATATTCATCTCTTTTCTTTCACCTACATTGTCTAAGCAAGCTCTCTAGTTTGTCTGGCCATAGATAAAGCTGTTATTTCAAAGGTAAATTAAAGGCCGTATTTAAATACGGTGCTTAGGAAGTACCGCTAACTTGAATCGAGCACTGGCCATACCACGGGATCGTGGTACTACTTCGGATATCTGGCGTGGCTCTGTTTATGTTGGCTTTCAGTCGTTATACTCGTGGTGAATATAAAATAAGCATCCTCGGTAGTCAAATTCTTGATAGTGAAACTCAATCGAATAAATTGAAATCTTTTTATAAAAGCGGTGGAGCCAAGACGAATTTCCTTCCTGGCGGTACTATTCCTTCTCACTATAGTCATTTTGCTAGATCACATTAACCCACTCGTCCGCACTGGCAGTTCCGCAAGAATCGTAGCAGAAGCTAGCTAGTGTTACCCGTTGTGGTCTTATGCATCTACGTGACGTGGTTCGAAACCGGGCGAATACACGCTTCGTTCCGTGCTAACCATCGAAAACAATGCTCAGCTATAAAAACTCAAAGCATTTATTTATTTAGAAAGGAAAATCCCATCGATTATACCAAAAATGAGTCGAGATAACGAACGCAATGAACAGCTCCAACGACCATACGCATACTGATGGATAATTTAATTAAGGCAACAACGTACGCATAAGCTTCGTAAAGTATGCTCAGAGTAAGTGTTGGTGGCGTCGTTGTTGATTTAAATTCATCCGTAATTGAACTATTTCACTAAATAGACTTCGCGCTATTTCGTAGACGTTCGCATAATTTTTTACGTGTGGATTTGTGAAGCCGTAATGACTTATATGAATTGAACAATAGTCTCTCTACTATACATACGTAGCACAGCATATGTTATTCGGACAGTGAAGTGTTGCTAGCACAAACAATATGGCCAGCTGTATACAATAATGTACTAATGAAGATGAAATCTTCGTTTCTGCACTACATATAGCGGCCGCTTGAAGAAAACATTTTGAAACAGCAAGCAGTTGTTTGTCGTTTCTCGTCTCAGTTATACGATTGATATTTTTCCACTTCCAAATATATACGCGAATTATATGCCATGATTTCATGCCAGATGTTCATAAGACACGGTGTCTTTAGATCTATCATGACCGAGTCTTTGTAAAGCATTTATTCACTGTGTACTACTTTTATTTAAGTCCGACCAACATACTATGACTGACAAGAGTGTCATTCTTTTATCAACCTGTTCATCTTTTCTATTCGGGTTATTAGCTGCTGATAATCCCTCATAAGATCACCACATTTTGCCAACGGGTCCAAGCCATTAAACAGTAAATGCTTAACCGGGTGAATTTTGGAGCTGTTTTTGACATGTTGACAATACGAACATAAATTATTCGCTCAGGACCTGACAGCCTTTCTGACAGCCTAGCTCATTTACGGGGTTTGACCTAGTGTTTTAGTAGCGTATGAACCGATACAAATTTATATCTCAAGAAGTGGCTCGTGCTTTTTGAAAATCGCAATTTATTCGATTTTGTAATTATTTTTAGTAGCTGAACATATCGAAGCTAGCTACTATTGGATCCAGGAATAGACTTTTTCAGGTTTCGCACATATTTTTAGCCCAACCCTTCTAGCTACGGTTGTTTAATTAACTGCGCACCATTTCGCGCTGTTTAACGTGTTCGATCATTTGCTGTGTACGTAGTGCTGTTTATCAGCTTTCAGCATCATGTAAATCTTTTGTTTTGTTTCCAAATGCGAGCTGGGAACTTATGGCGGATGGATGCATATCTTTTGTGTAGCATCTGGAATGTTCCTGACAACACGCACGCGTAAGTCCTCCACAAGTGTTATTTTCGCTTTTTGTTAAAATGAATCTGCCTATCTTGTTCCGTATTTTGGAATTCTTTTTAGTCGCACCAAAAGAATTGCTTATCAGCTAAGAGTCGGTCGTCGTGGTTAATTTCTTGGTAGTGCGAAGAGCGTACAAGGACCCTAGAGGGGAGTGATGAAGCAGAAAGGGGGTGCTGCTTCCCTCAGAATGCGTGAATGTCCATCTTGAGTACGTGCGGATATTCCGCACCCTCTTCGACTTTCCGGCAAACATAATGACCCTTTCGTACTTTTCAGTCATAGGTAGGAAATCAACAGTAGCTACCGCTTTACCATCTGGAGCAATAAGACGGCACATTTATGAGCTTTCGCAGCTCCGGAGGAATGCTGCTCGACGAGATCATGCTACTGTTGCAATTCATTACATAGACACTGAATGGAGCCGTTTGTTTACATCATAGTAAAGGTAGTAAGTACGAATTTGCATAAAGAAGCCTCTTGTTGGGTACTATAGAATTATTTCAAAGAGTCCATGAGCATGTGTTTGTATGTAAGCTTCTTGCTTCCAATCTTTTCAGTTTGATGCTAAAAAAGGATCTGCTTTTCTTTCCAGTATTTGGTTTCTGACGTTATTTTTAAAATAAAACATAACTAAGAAAGTCAGGTACAACAGTAACTTGAGCCAGACTTAGTGTGCGTACCAGATACATCTGACGATAGTTCCGAAATTTAAAACCAATAATAAAATTTTTCACCGAATTAACCCTCATAACAAATATTTATATATGTTGACTCAGTAAAATACGCAAGGGCTTCTGAGGAAATTTTAGGCCGTTCTGTTTTTGTGACACACATGAAATGACCCTTAGCTCCGCTTGTGGCTGATGTTAGGCTTGATTTCCCTTCCCATACTTAAACATGTCCGATATAATGATGTAGCATCGTATTAGGCCATAGCAAGTATGCTATTAAAACTCCACGAAGGCCAACGCTGCCCAGCTTCAGGCTGATAGCTTACGGCGAACAGTCTCCACAAAATTCGGACTCCTGTGCTTTACAGAACATCCAAAGACGTCAACTGTAAGTCGACCTCATCGCTCACTCGATGACACGTCGTCGCCGAATTCAGCGGCTGTGCTTATAGTCGCTTCAAGGAAATGGACTATGAAAACTGTCCCGTTCCGATTCTTAGGTCGCCAAAAAAGATTCTTCTAAAATAGAAAAGCCACGTCACAGGATGATATGTTATCTGTTAGGTATCGTCGTTGCACCACTCCCGTTGCAGGTGGCCCTCGTCCCCGAATCCTGTTCTGTTTGAACTAACAATATCGGAACATGTCGAAGAATAGATGATCACCCACGACTTCACGGTCATCTGCAACTCTACTGCATCTCACACTACTTAACTCTAGGAAATCGTCGTTTTCTTCAACTTGCATCTTTTCCATTAAATCCTGCTCATGTTTACCTCTTGCCAGAACAGCTGACAAGAAAGCAGGCAAGTTCTTACAACAGTTGTAAAGTCTCTACACAAGGGCGCGACGATTACAACAAAATCTGTTTTCTTTCCACAGTTTTGCGTAGATTTATATTATTCCTTTACTAGAGACTTTATGCATTTACTTATTGTACATACTGTTGATGGAACAGTATACGTTGCGTGTAAATAGGGCTTTCATTGCAGCTATTTTTTTTTTTGCTTTCTTTACGTATTTGATTTCATCTCGTCTAAGGAACAGAGTTTTCTGTTCGGCAATGGCGTGGTTGTTATTAACATCTGCGAGGTGCAGCTTCTGTCTGTGGTACATGGAAATTTTGTTTACTTTGTGCGAACTATCCTCTTCGCCCACTCCACCTGCTGCTCTGTCCAAATATTTCACCCACAGTTTTATTAATAATATATCATTTTAAAAGCTTTGAATCGCGAAAAGTTCATCTATCGTTTGGATTTGCCGATAGTGTATCTATCGCCGTTCCTACACACTTTGATACCCCTAAGTATTTTCCGCAGATTGGCAGCAGTTTAATAATGACTCACGAAACTGCTACATATTGCGAGGAACACTTACAGAGCTTGATCTCACTTAGACTTGATAGGTTCATCATATATCTGCACAAATTGTTCACATCTTAGGAGCTACCTAAGACTATCCGCGACAGTAAGTCCAAAACGTGTGGGGTAAGATGTTGTTAAAAATGACTGGGTCTTCATGGCGCATTTTACCGCCAGAAAAATAAAAGCTTATTAGAGTTCTATCTAATCTGTTATCACGTTATCGCGGTTCAAACGGTAACTAGGAGTCAGTTCAGAGGCATATTTTTTGCAAATGATGAGATTTCTCAATTCGGTGTAGCTTCAGATAGCAACAACTTATTTATGTTTTCATCTATTTTCGTTCGATATAACTCTATCAATCAAGTCAGCTAAATTTTCAAGATTTACTTTATACCATACATCTCGTGTTATGAGGCGCTGTCGCTCTGCTTTAGTGTATGCACAGCCTTTTCCCTTCATTTTCTAATGTTGAGGTGAAGTTAGTGTAAGGCATACCTTCTGGTGGTTGTTACCACTAGTGTTACCACTAGTAGACACAATGCTTAACTAATTTTGCTACGTCAGTTTTCTATTACTGTCACCAATAGAATATGAAGCTTCTAAAGGCATGCAGGTGACCGCGACATTTAATTTCCATCTCAGTACCATCGATTTAGATTACCATTTTTCTCGAAGATTTTATTAGGCCTCAAAAAGAATATTATGATAACTGATCCTTGTTGGATTCTATGGCTATTGGCATATTTAGTCATTTTGTACTTGATTTACTCGAATCTTAAGCCCTTGCCAATAAATATTATCATGAAAAACTTGACGATTTGCTCAGCACAGTGGTCCAGTTAACCGCGCAAGATAATAGAAAACATTTGGCTCCTGAGCATAGGTATGACCTTTTCATAACAATAATGGTGCCAAGAAGGTTTACAACGCATGTCCGCGATATTGATTTTTGCCTCTGTGAAGAGTGTTTTTTAATGCGAATGAACCTTCTTTTTGCTCATTACAAGAACTGAAAAGCGCTGGGGGGAATTAGAAAGGAGTGACAGCAGATTTAGCGATGATCGTTGTCGCTAATACCATGTCTACCCGCGCATGCGTATTTTTCGTTCTCTCAGCAGACGACAAATTATAGAGGACGAGGCTGGTAGGGGCACGGGGCGATTGCTAAGAAAGATGATAAAAGGAAAAGGAAAGGAAACAATGTTGGAGGAAAACGGAAACCCGCGAACTTATACGCAGCGCTTAGGCTAGCCGATACCAACGGTTGTGGCATTGTTTTCGAGGAAATCGCAGGACTCCCAATTCCCGCTTTATTTTAAGGAAGAAAAAAAAATTGCAGGCTATTGTTGTTCTTGCTGCTGCGGTTGCAGCTTCGCTACTCGATGCTGGACATTGAGAAGTGGTTGCCCTTCGGCATCGTAACTCCTGCCATTGTTGATGTTGATGTTCACGTTTAGAAGCTTTAAGCGAGTCTGTGAGTGAGGGTAGGAGGATGTTGAGGGCGGAGTTGAATGGAGAGGGGAAAGGAAGGATATCTTGCAAGCGTTAAAGGCGAGATAACTGTAGACTTATTGAGAATGAGGCGAAGCCCTTTTTTTGGCCCCATTGAACTTATCGAAAAATATGCAGCAAGTCGGTTGTACTCACAGACAGGCACATTGAAGTAAAAGCGGTTGCAAAGATAACGAGCGAGTGCGCGCTCTCGGGAATGGGGACAAGTATATGCGAGAACAGCATCGCCCAGAGTTGATAGCTGCAGCACCCGAGAAGCTTACGGCCGGCTAAAGAGAGAGCAGACTACCCTCTGCGGCTGCCGGACAGAGTAGTACTAGCAATGATAGGAGTGGACAATAAAGAGGGTATACAGGAGGAGGAAAGGGAAGGGTATGAGGAGTGGCTAGAGCCGGAAGCCCAATCCCAGCAAAATAAACCACTACCGCCACCACCAGGAGAGCTAAGAGAGAGTATGGAGTTTTCAGCCGAGTGGAGACTGCGACGGGCTAGGCGTTTGTCATCGCTGTGCGCGCCCTCAAGCGTTGTATTGGCTTTCGAATCCCTTCGGCGCCACCAACAAAGCCGATTTCTGTCATTCGACTATAATATAGTTGCATCTATCAGTAACAATACAACAATCGCTATCGGATTTGCGTGTCCGCAATAGAGAGAAACAACTAGAGTTACAATCGCTTTGCGTCAAAACGCTATTGTGCAAAGGAAAAACCGCCAGTAACCCAATTGACCAGCCAATCAAGCATCACTTAAATCCTCCGTAACGTTTTCATTTGCTTTGCATAGCGGCAGGTACCGTCGTCCGTTGGTCATTGTCGACGTCCTGTTGATCATCGTTTTTGCTGTTCGTCACGTAAAACGCGCATTTCGTATCGTATCGTGGTATTAAGGGTGGACTACTATTTAGACCGGGGCGTTGACCGCGACACAATTTATCATGACAGAAGCAGTGAGTGGTGGCCATGGGTCGTACGCCGGAGGCCGAGAGGAAGCAAAAAGCCCGCAGGTCTAGTTTAACTATCACTGCTACTATTGGCGGTCGAATTGAGCAGAAAGTATTTCTCAATTCACCCGACTTGAAATGCAGGTTTTACAATTACTGCTGTAGCGAAGGGAATAGAAGATGAGTGCGGTGCTACAGCGTTGGTGTATGGGAGCTCTCACAGCTAGAGGGTGAGCAACAACCCGCCTACACGTCCATCACTCCTAAGCAGTACACATGATACAGGACAGTGAATATAGAACCTTAATAGTAGTAGGTCGCATACTAGTGATATATGTAGTGACGACTGAGAGGAACTGAGGAGCCGAAATGGCCGGAGGCGGCAAAACGCTCAAGATACAGCTGATGCTGGAAAAGTGCACAGAAGGACATGAATCTAACGGAACGCCGACGCCTGCCGACAACAACGAAAGCGGCAAATCCAGAAAAGAAGTCTTCTACAAGGTAAGCCATCCAGTTTGTTCGTCTAGCAGATAGACACAAACTGATAAATCTCAAGCGCGGCTACGACAGCAGTGTCAATAATAGCAATACACGGCACTAGCTTAGCAGCCTGGAGCAGAACGAGGACGAGTTTACGTGGGATGAAGAATCAGCGGGCATCTTTTCGGAAGTGGGAAAAGTTCGATCGCGGCCTGTGGACACACCGAAGGCATAGCAAGAATTTTCAAGGAGTGTGTCCTTTGTCTAACCAATTACCGGAAATCTTATTTACGTAGACTTATTAGCCTAGCCCTTCGACTGAGTTTTCCACTTAAGACCCCACCCTAGCTTCCAGTCACCAAATTCATCAATACATTTTACTCTTCGGGGATTATAGTTACTGCGGAGTTCCGTAATGGCTTCCAGGATGATTGACTGCATTAGATCTCGAAATATCGACAAGAGTATGTCAGCTAATACTGTGAGCATTTTTCTGACAGTGAAATCGGGCTTGCTCCCAACATGTCTTGTAACTACATAGGTATTAGCTACGGAGACCCCTCTCTCGTCTGCTAACGGATCCGTTTCTAGGTTGAACGATAACAACGACAGCTAGATTCCATAAATTGTCGTCCGATGAATTGTGCCATGCTTGCGTATACCTATCCAGCAAGATAGTCGAGCAAACGGGTTAACCTCAATCCTTCTCCGTGCTTGAAAGATGAATTGCGTGTAAACCCATTTCTTTGTTTTTAATCGGTTCCTTTTCTGAACAAGATTGAAGGATCGCTAAAGAGTTGGAGAAGTAAATAGATAGAATTTGTCTCAGAAGACTACCTTTAGTGCTATTGTACGAGATTCGAACAGAAAAGGAAAGGCATCTTTAGGTAACGGCCTGAATACGACTTTCACCCGACTACCAAATATTGGATCACGTGCTTCAAGCGCTGTCAAAAATTAAGTTGTACAGCAGGTACGTTTGCACGTTAAACAGCACACCTTGTTTTTGACATGCAGTCTTAATAAATTTGTAAGCTCTAACGCCTTTTATCGGATTTATACCACCGACAAGTGCCAAATATATTAAGCCCTTCTGCAGGACACACGGAAACCCATTTTTGCGATTTGCGGTGGAATCTAGGCTCTGAGAGCCGTATTAAATAGAGTGTTGACCAAATAAAGGGAATGCTTTGGTAATAAAATTAATTAGAAGGACTACTCTGGGGTACTACTTCTTTAGTACGCACACGGTTTTGTATGCCTCTGAGGCCACGTATAACAGAGGCAGTGGCTAGTCTCTGTTAAAAACAGCTAGCGACAAAGTGTGGATCGCAAAGTTCTCGACCGCTGGTTATGATACATGATCCTATTATTTGACCGCTCCTGTATTATTTGAGGTTTTTTTTTTAGATACAAGCGTTTCAGAGTTACAATTTTTGCGTTTTTTAATAAATTAAATAAATGTTGTGGGTCAGACATATAAAACACAGTAATATTCTATTTTATGGACCGAGATTGTGTATTAAAATCAGGCGAGGCACAGAACCACTTGGACCAGAGGCGCCTAGTTCAATTGACCAAACATCAAAATGAAGAAAGAACGGCTACAAAGAGACGCGTCGGAGCGACCAAAGGCAACGCGGCACCTTGCACACGTATTTTATGTCTCGACATATATATATATCTTATATCAGGAATGTTCTCTCACAGTGTGAAATAAAATATGTATTGAAGACTTTACACTGATGGCTTGAAAAGCCAGATAAATTTCGACGGTACCAAGATTGCTCTATAACACGCAAGTGGTTTGGCACGCTGTAGTTCACATAAAGTAATGGACAAGCACTGGAAAGCCCGTATATTCGTAGCCATGCTGATAATGAAGCTATGATATTGGCTTCGAGTCTCGAAAGAGCCGCAAAAGAAGGCAAATGACTGCTTTAATAAAGGATTTTGCAATCAACGTAGAAAACCGGCTTCTATTTGATGCAGCCGGGGATGATTCCAGTTATTTTGGCACTGGAAGCACTGGAAGTAGCACTAATGCGAGTACCATAATTTAATTGTTATTGGGTAAATGGAAGCAGCTGAGTATCGTTAAGTATTATGATAAAAACTTGCCAGACTTGCAGGGTAGAGCTTAGGAGGTTTAATATGTAGACATACATTTGTGATTTCCGCTTCTACGACTATACACATATACAAGCATATTGACCCACTGTTGTCAAACAACCACTCGTGTGGAGAAGCATGATCTCGCCTAGTCTAAACTGGTCACCCGTGTATGTTGTTGTTGCATGTATGTATGTATGTATGTTCCGTACATAGCCATAGCAGTGGCTTTAAAGGCTTAGTCGTTTCACGTACCTGTCACTAAGAGCGATTTATAGCGGAACGAGCAAACAGAGGTTCGCTGGAAGGACACAGTTATATACTGGTGTTAATGAAATAATTACATTGTTAAGATTCAAAAAACAAAGAAGACCTGACAAGTTTATTTTGAGGAGATAACCGAAACAAGTGTCAGGATTCATGCAAAGTGTTCATATCATGTACAGGACGCCCTGGTGCATTTCAAGGCTTGTTGTTGGGTTGTATATGAAACAAATAAAAAGAAGCTGATCTACGTTTTCATACATTGGTCATCGCTTGCGCGTTCATTTTATTTGGCTGGGATACATTGGATAAGTTTTACTAAGGGTGTTGAGTCGTTAATAGGATCTTCCTGCATAAATGTCAAGCTGGAAAAATCAGCTAACCATTTAACAGATGTCTGTGTGTGTGCCATGGCTAAGTGTTTGCCATGTCATTGACATTTTACCCGCATCGTCCCTGAAGCGTAAGAGCGCTAGGAACACTTACTTAACGAACAACAGCGAAACCAGAACTGTGCTTGTGATTCCTAATATGAATGTACTTTTTTTTAACCTGCTACACAAATGTTTAGACTAAGCATTACATAGCCAATCAACACAAACAGGCAGAGTAGTTTTTCTATAATTACATTGGAAGTCTCTCACTTAATTGGATGGTCGAGATACGAAAAAATGAATTTTAGGATAATTAGTATAGTATGAATGAGCATACTCTCCTCTAGCATAGTAGCAATGGTAATTATGATCATTGCAGCTAGTATAGATAACCTAACAGATATTACGTAACGCTTAAGTATTTTATTAGTGTTTCGTTGTGTAGTCTAACGTGTAGTGGATACGGCGACTTTGGGCCAATACTTGCGCAACCGTCGTTGATTAAGCACATTTGTTTGATGGTGGTAATGCCGATGTATGCAAGATATGGCGGCTAAACACGATCATATATAGCATGGATAATTAGTTACGTTAGAATTAAGTGTAATAACGGTTATTATATCGTTTTTATTTCGGTCGGAGAAACAATGCGCACATTTTTTTCCCTTCTGTTCTAGATCACAACGTAACTTGTAGGTACACTAATACCTAGGCCATTCGCAGGTCCCTACCCAGTGTAGCAAAACTTTATGTGGGCCTATGGTAGAGGAATCAATCTTTGACCTGCCTTATTTGGCAGCAAGTTATTAGTAGAATATCAGCTTCTCTAGACATAATCGCAGTTCTTTTTAAGCAGTGATTTATATGGTTCCGCTTCTGGGCTCAAATGTAAAAAGTGATCTTGTAGATGAACTTCTAAAATCACCCCTCAACTTGTTTTTACGTCTCACGTGTAATGAGATAGTAATGTAATGAAGCAAAAAAAAAATTACTTACTGCTGGTATTCTTGCTACACCCTCTGATTTCTTAGGTACCCTTTCACTGGCTTAAAACGTATCATTATCAGTGGTTCTAACGGGAAACGATAGATGGCAAAAATCCTAGCGTAACGTAATTACTGGGAAACTTACCATGTCTGAGTCATCGGGTTGCTACAAAGACATCGGCGAACCGGTTTCTCCCTGCTCTTGGCTTAGGTTTTCAACCAAAGGCCAACCCTCAAACGCCTGAAGTGTTTGTAGTTTTCGGCTCTGAAATCTTTTACTGTCCATTGCTAAAACTACTCGTACCTTGATATAAGCGCGCTCGCCCTTGTAAACGTGCCTATAAACATCTATGCCGCTACTATTCGCTCGCAAAGCCATTATTACTTAAGGCTTGAGTAGCACAGTTAGGTTTAGAATGCAACTTTTCTCCAAGTCTTGCAAAATTATTTACACAGTGAAATAACTGACGCAGCGGTTCGCGGCCCGCTAAACGTGCGAGGTCTATGGTTTTGGTTATTCTATGTATTTCTCTGAAGTGTTCTGCTTTCGCCCTGCTCCTATACCCTTTTACGCTGTCCAACTGTAACCTCGTGTAAAAAAACCTAAAAGTAATGCGCTCCAACTATTGATATTGTCTCATAGACCTGCCGCGCTAAAAGCTCAATAATGCATATTTGTGATTGACCCAAAAGCCTACATTATAGAACAGGGGCAGATTAACAGCACTCATAAGAGGCAAATATTCAATAGTGGCTCATTTTAAAAAATTACCGACACATGCGTATACGCGTAGGTGTGTGTATATGTATCTCGAAAGAGCGCTGGTATTAGTGGCGGCGGCGACCTTTGCCCTTATACTATTGCTGCTGTTTGTATAGGTAAATCGTGTGAACTTAGTTATTTTTGTGGTGAGACATCGCGTGCTTACTTTGCTGCAGCGGATTATTTCATTTATTAAAGTGACACAGAGAAAATCCAGTGGTCGATGACTTTTGTACTGATACAGAATTAGAAGCATCAGGACCCTAGGCGAACGAAGGAAGCTGGCTAGAATAGAATTTGCCTTATTATATACAAATGCGGTCTCCGCAGCCTGCTAGAACAGAAAAACTCTGTATGACAGCCGGATCAGTCGAACACAGAGGTGGTACTCGAATAGTTTCATACGACCAATCAATAATATTTTGAGAGGATTTCTTTCAAGTGTTTCATGGTGTTACACAGTTATCTGTATCTTAATAGGAAAACAATTTTCGGATCAATCGAAATCAAGCCAATATCTTT